CTTAGCCCTCATCCTGATAGTGGTGTCACTGTGGTGATTCCATGGTGGAGGCCTCTCACCATCAGTGCCCAGACAGATGTCAGTACCTATTATATTTAAGCCACTGAGCATCTACTGCATTTCTGCTGCTATGAAAAGAAATAACTGGGCCAGAACAGGTCAGCACCAGTGACAAACCTGAGCGGTTATAAAATATGAAGCCAACTTCTTGTGCTACCTTTTAAGCACGTAGCAGCTGGTTTAAAAATATGTTTGAATAAGATAAGTAAATGATGGAGTATTAGAATTCTTTAGTCTTGAGTCATAAAATATACTTAACGAAAGTAAAATTACTAGCAACATCAATATTCCATAAATCACCATTTTAAGGACTAGTTCTTTGATATGATTATACTGGGTAATAAAAGAAAGAAAAAATGAAAAGCAGTTCTTTTGCAATAGTTAGAATCTATAATTTAAAGGGGAAAATACAGGGTATTCAAGTATTTTGCTGGTAACAAGTTTACGTACACATCAGCCGTGTGGAACATGAAGCAACCCAACCATGAAGGGATGACAGGTACTCTAAAATGTAATGACATGTTCAGAAGGGATGAAGCCTTTGTGTCTCAAAATATTTTTTTTTAATCTACTTATTCTGTGCATTAAAATGCAGCTTTATACATTCTTATTACTGCAAAGATAAATGAAGGAGCATACTTACAAGCATACGGAAGTTAAAGTTTTTTATTTCTATTCTAGAAAGAGGATGGGATTCCTCTTTGTGGCTTTATACATGATAGTTAACATTTGCCTTTTTGTACTTTAGGAAATCCTGTCAAAATTATAGTTAAAGACACAAGATTCTGGCTCACGCAAGAATGGTACACTCCATAAGAAGAGCAACATAAAGCCTGTGGTAAATCATATCATTAAGAGAGAACAGGCAACTTCTACAGATTCTCTCCAGTTTGTTACTGCAAGTAAAGCTCAAGTTAACCCCGTCCTCAACTGTGGAAGCTGGAGAAAAAGTTTCAACATTGTTTAATTCTGACCAACTCATTTGATATGCACAATGTAGAAAGATATACGACAATAAGATTTTTTTAATTAATACTTAGAATTCTAAATTAAGTGGTACAAAACATTCCCAACATTTTAATATTTCACAAAATGGATATGGTTTAAATAAAGAGTTAATTCATTATGCAGGAAGTTGGTTTAAATTACGGAAACGCACCACCTCATTTAAGACTGGTTTTATTTTTGTTTGTTTTTTTTTTTAAATTTATTTAAAGCAAAGAACCGACCTGAAAAAGAAGAGTTACTATCCCCTCGCACGTGGATAACCTGCAGGGAGGCGAAGATGGCAGGATGGGCGTGAGGTTTCATGCAGAACCCTTAAATGCTACAAAGTGATGGTGCAGAATAGAGGGGTGGGGGGGGAACAGCAACTTTGATTGCAGTTTGCCCACATACTAGTCAAAACAGAAATTAAAGTAGTTAAATAATAATTATGATAATTAAAAAAACACCACAAAGAAATAAACAAAGCCGATCCCGGTTTTAGGAGGCAAAAATCCTCATGCAACACGGCGGGGGTGGGACCGCCGTCAGCCACCCCGCTCCCCTCCGCCGGGGAAGCCCCCTCAGCTGCCGGCTGCCCTTCCCGCTCAGAAGCGCGGAGGGGAGGGAAACCCAGGGCAGGGGTTACCTGGCGGGCTCCCAGGCGAGGGGTCGGCGGGACGGGCAACGGCTCCTCCTCGAGCCGCAACGGCCGCCGGGGCGGGCGGCGGGGACAGCGGCGCCGCTCCCCTGAGGGGACGAGCGCGGCGGCGCCTGGCAGAGCGGAGCTCCCGGTGAGAATCTCGGCAGAGCCGCCCCGGGGCTGCCCAGAGCGGCGGGACCCGCCGGCCGCTCCTTCCCTTCTCCCCCCCGCCTCAGCCGCCGCGCCCGAAGCGCGGGAGACGGGCGCCCTCACACACGGCCCCACCCTCTCGGGAAGGGAGGGGGAGCGCCGCGAGGGAGGGGGCGGCAACCGCCAATCGGGGCCGGGCAGGTGATGAGACCCCGCCCTCTCCCGCCGGGGACAGCCAATAGGAGAGCCGAAAGGGGAAGAGGGGGGGGACTGCGGCCGCGCGAGCAGTGTGGGAGCCCCGCCGGCGGCCCCGCCTTGTCGCAGTGCAGCGGCGGCGGCCCCTCCCGCCTCGCGTCCCGTAGCCTAGCGACGCGCCGCCCCGCCTCCCGCGCGACGTCGCCGTGACGCCAGAGCTGCGCCTCCGCGTCGCCACGCACCGGTGACGCAGGATGGCCGGCGCCCGCGCACCGGCGGTGATAGACAGGGGCGGAGCGGGGAGGCGAGGCGAGAAGCGTTACACCGCCCGCCCGGCCTCACGCGTCGCGCTCCAGGCACGAAATGACGTCACGCCAACGTCTTCCGAGGTCGGTGCTACGTCAAAGCCGCCCTTCCCCTTGGGTGGCTGCACCCTCTCCCCGCCCGGCGCGGAGGGGCTGTGTGAGCAGCGCCCAGCACCCCCCAGCAGTAACTCCCACACCAGTCTGTTATTTTTTTCCAGTAAAACCCCCTCAGAATGGTGATGACGTCCCCCGGTGGCAGGAAGGAGAAGCCCCCGCAGCCCCAGCTTGTGGGAACGTCACCGACCACCTCTCAAAATAACCCGTCAGGCGCAAGGGTTAACCTCATCATACAACTACCCCAATTAATTAAACGGGAAGCTGCGTTAAAAGGCTCTGTTAAAGACTGGGTTATACTCACAAAAAGGCCGGCTAAACATAAAAACTTTAAGCTGCTCCAGTGAGCAATATGTCAGAATCACGGCATTGTTGGAGTTGGAAGAGACCATCTAGAGACCATCCAGTCCAACCCCCCGGCCAAAGCAGGGCTGCCCAGAGCACATCACTCAGGACTCCATCCAGGCAGGGCTTCAAGACCTCCAGAGAAGGGGACTCCACCCCATCCCTGTTCAGTCTGTTCCAGGGCTCTGGCACCCTCACCCTAAAGAAGTTCTTCCTCATATTTGAGTGGAACTTCTCATGTTCCAGCTTGTGCCCGTTGCTCCTCATCCTGTCACTGGAAACCACTGAAGAGAGTCTGGCCTCATCCTCCTTCAACCCACTCTTTAGGAACTTGTAAATGTAGGGGAAGTCTCCCCTCAGCCTTCTCTTCTCCAGGCTAAAGAGTCCCAGCTCTCTCAGCCTTTCCTCATCAAGGAGGTGCTCCAATCCCCTAATCATCTTAGTTGCCCTACGCTGGACTCTCTCCAGTAGTTCCCTGTCTCTCTGGAACTGGGGAGCCCAGAACTGGATGCACTATTCCAGTTGTGGCCTCACCGGTGAAGAGTAGAGGGGGAGAATGACCCTTGACCTACTGGCCCCACTCTTCCCTAGGCAGCCCAGGATTCCATTGGCCCTCTTGGCAACAAGGGTGCATTGGTGGCTCATGGAAAGTTTGCTTCTAGAAGATCCACCCTACTTCCCCAAACTCCATTTTTCTGCCTCTGCTTAAAACCCACCGCGTACAACACGAGGCAACTTCTGTTCCTCCTCGGTATTTTGGAAGGAATCACTGAGAGAATCATAGCTGCACAGATCTAAACAATTATCTTCAAAAAAACTCACCCCTAAACCCTGGAGTAATACATTAAGGACACAGAATGCAAAAAAAAAAAAAAAAAATTTGACACATCATCAAAAAAAGAAGAAAATGTGGGTTTCCTTGAATTCTAGAGGGGAAAGTACTTGAATGAAAAAAAAAAAAAAAAAAAGCACAGAAGAGTTCAGAAAAAAAGGACTGCGCCAGTCTAGAAAAGTAAATGAAATTTGAATTCTTACAACAGCATGGAAAGCTTTCTTAGAAAGAAGCAGAAATCACTCCTGATTTCATACAGTCCCACAGCAATCCATAGGATAAGCCAATGCTGCAATACTGCTATACCATTACCACACTACTTTATTGCACTACGGACGCAGGCGTGATGCTCTGTGAGAGAAGTGGCAACACAGTTTTTGAATTAACCTCTGCTGCTAGACAGGAATTCAGTCCCTCCCTTTTTTCCAGAGGAGGAGAAAATACCAATATCAGCATTTGTGAAAAAACCCCACAACCCTCAATATCTCAATTTCTTCCCAATTGATAGCCTAGAGATTATGTTTGTTTAGTTACCAATAACTCAAAGGTAGTGGAACTAGCTCTTGGCCCTTAAAACACTTTCATTTCTAAAAGTAGAAAAAAAACCTGTAAAGATGCCCGTTGACAGCTTAAATAAACCATGTCATTTGCCCGAGTCTTAATAGTTTTGTGACTATTGTGAAATTTAGGGAACTTCAGTATTTCTAAGTAGCATTAAAACCCGTAAGATAAGAAAGATCCAGGGGTGCTCGCATTGACATCATACTTATGTTACTAGTTAAACCGGTTACACGAGCACCCTTGTTTCAGGGAGAGATTACCCAGCCGCTTGACGGCTGCGATGGGTATGCCCACGGAACCCGGGAGACAGATCCATCATCCCAAACCAGCTCCACATCGGTCTGCAGAGGAACCAGTCCCAGGACACAAGGGTGAAGAACACCCACTGCCTGTGGACTCATGCAATCTCTACCTGTCATTACAGGCCAAAAACGCTGGCCGATCCCAACACGTGGCCACACCCGCAGGGAGAGAAACACTGAAAGGAACTACTTAAAAACATACGCTTTCATGTTATCTGTGTTTTGTAAAATAAGTCCAATTTGGCTACTATTGCAGACAAGAGTGTTTCTACAATGGCTATGGTGCATCAAGAAAATCACTGTCTCCGTTGCTGAGTTTGTACCTCCTGAAAAATTTCTGTTGCAAAAAGATCAGGTTTATAAGAAACTGTATTTTCTTCGCATTTACCTGTCTAGCAAATTTTACCAAGATCACCAAATAAGTCAAATCAATCTTACTAGCTCGGCTGCAGTCTAGCTCCACAGAAGGAAGAGGTTTTGAACCTGTGCAAAAGAAGCAGACAATTTTATTAAGTTCTACTAGACAAAGAGAATATTTTCAATTTATTATTCAGAAACCTGAACAAAGCTTTGAATGCGTGCATGTCCATGTAATGCTAGCACCCAGAGAACCAGTCAAAACTGGCATTTGCCATTAGTTCAGACAGTATTCAAGCATAAAACGGTTGGTATGCTAAACAGTATCAATAAGATTGAATTAAGATTAAACCAAAGCCTTACATAAACAAGTGTCCTAGGTCTGCTACAGGTCTGTAAGTAGTTCTAAAGAATAACATAAAGGTAACTGAGTATGTACAGATCTTAAAATAAGAGTCAATTGCCCAATGCAAAAGTTTAGCAATATTTCAACAGCACCTCTTTTCTGATCTCCTCTGCTACATATTCCCGCTGCAGCCACACCTGCTCCTTTTGGTATTCTCACCTTCCTAAAGTTGTGCAAGTCTCGAGCAGCCTGTCAACCAGCCTCCCTTTTCCAATCAGCATTCATTTAGGTGGTTTTTTTTTCTGTAGCCTGACATATGAGCAGAAACAAAGACAATGACATTGTAGGACTCACTAGCATGCACATGCTAGTTTGTGCATTAAAAAAAATAATAAAAATCTTAAAGCACAGTATATATTTTACTTTGATGAATTTTAATACCCTTATGCAACCAGTACAATTAATCATGACTTAAATAATTCATTTCCTCAGAGCCTTCTTTCCTCATTAAAGTGATCACAAGATTGGAAAGATCAAAATTCTTGTGAAGATTTAGCAGATATAATTATAATAGTTGCTGACTGGTAGACTAAGTCAAACTACCATAAAGAAAAGTCAGTTAAGTTATTAATAACCTATCTTCCTACTAAAATATTTGTGTTCAAAATAGTATGACCTGAAAGTTAAATTAAAAACATCTTTCTAAAAATTAGTAAGATTTAAAGAATCCAATAAACATCATAGTACTGTCTTCCCAACTTTTTCTGAATAGGAAAACAGAAGTCAACTTGAACAGATACTCTACAAAAAGTTTGGGCCTTATTTATTCATTTATTTAAAAGACGATTGCTCTGATCGAAATCCTTCACTGACACAAGAGAGGCTGGCAGTCCATTAATTAAATCTCACAACAGTAAATTAATTCCCTCCGCGAATACACGCTGTTAGCAGAGCTGTTAACTTGATACTCCCACCCCCCTTTTTTCCTTTTTGTATTTTATATTTCAGGATTGTTTGCTATTTTTATATCACCAGCAGATGCAATTTCCAAATATAGATAATTTTCTTCCATGCCTTGGTACACAGGGAAATGTCTCAGGAACATGTTCTGTTTTAAACCTAGTGAGCCTAGTTTCAAGTTTCTCATTTGCCCTTTAACTACTCTTTCCTTTTCTTCTGCACTTGGATCTAACAATCCTAAAAATGATTCTTCACACTGTCTCCCAATATCTGAGCACAACCAGTTAAATTCTTGCTCTAATTATCAACAAGAGGCATCCAGAGATTACTTTAAAATCCAAGGTTCCAGCATAATATCCATCTTTTCAGCCACTCTTCCTCAATAAAACTGTGCTCACTTCATTTTTTTATTGTCAGAGGTTTTTTTTGTGGTGAACAGAATTCTAAGAACTCAAGGCCAGCAAATGCAATTTAAGTATAAAGCTTTGCTAACACATAATGGGTATTGGAGACCTCTGTAGAAACAGTCAAACTGAAACTACTGGATCAATTAAGCAAAGGCACGTGCCCTACTTTCACTAATAGTTTTGAGTACCTTTAAAAGAAAAGCTATTTTAATGATTAAGACAAGCTTTAGTTATTTTATCCATTGCTCTAACCTTCAGAAGCTCAACATGTTATACATATATACTAAAAGGAAAAAAGTGTTAATTATCTTTGCTTCATTAAAAAAAACCAACAGTATTTCAATACAGAATTCTCAAACACCAATATGAAGAAAATACTAAATACTTTGCACAGTCTTTATATTTTTATGGCTTTTGATAAACCAGAGCCCTCAAATTTTATGGGCAGATGCAAAATTTACCACCTGAAGGGCAGCACGCAGTGATAACTCTGAGACAATTAAGCAAGAAATGCTGCTGCTGCCACTTTGCCACTCAAAGTACATTAAAGTTCCCCCAACCCAATGCCTTCCTAGTGCACTAAAAGGCAGGAAAGATATTTTGACATTCCTATAAAAACAATGAAGGACAGAAATAAGTTGAGATGCGGATGGGAGCTGATAGACTATCGATAGGCAGTTAACAGACTACAACACAAAATGGGAAGGAGTGATACAAAATTAGTCTGCCACAGAAGGGAATAACAATAAGTGTGCTGGAAAGTACCTAACTGCAGGATATTCTTTATTCTATTGTTATTTTAATAAACAAAAGAGAACTGGTTAGAACTACTACTGAAGCCTCACTGCTCTTCCTTTGTAACTGTATTTCTTTCTCCTTTCTCACAGGTCCCTTTTTCATTAGGGGTAAGGTCTTTATGACAGAAGCCCTGCTTCTTACAAAAAGTAAGCAACCCAGGACTTCTAATTCAATTGTGTCACCTAAACCTCTTGCAATTCTCCCTCCTTTCAGGGGGAAAAAACGCATTATTACTGTTTATGGTCCTCAGTGACCAGTTTTGGCAGACACCTTACAGAAATGTTATCTTCCTTTTGCACAACTATTGAATAGGCCTCTTGTCAAGCTGACATTCCAATGAAGACTGGATGTTAATGTCCAGATTTCACCAGCAGTTTGTCTCCTTAACAACAGCTTGGAGTTTGTCTCCTTAACAAGAACAGCTTGGAAGTTTCCACCCCACCCCTTTTTTTTTGTTTGTTTGCTTTATTATAAATGCCTCCCTTCTCCTTGTCTCAAGATCTTAGAGCTGCTGCCAGGTGGTTGGGTAGAGTCACTAATGTACAGCCTTAGGTGAGTCAAAAATAAATACTACAAATTTGAACAATCATTTCTCCATCCCTTCACCAGTCAGTAGCAGCAATAACTGGTACAGACCCATCAGTGTTCCACTACAATACAGATTTTCAACAAACCCTAAGTTTTATCAATAAAGCACAGTTCAGTTGCTTCGTTGATGAAAGTGCATTAGAGTTCCTGTTTCTCTCCACTAACCACAGTGGGGTCAGATGCAACAGGAACTTTATTACTTCCAGCAAAAACAGAATCAAAAGCAGCTTCCTGCTCCTCTAAAGTCACAGTAGCAGTGGGTCCTCTAACAGATGTGCCGGTAAAGGCTGGCCGTTGCTCTGTAATCCTTTCCACGTCCATTGTTTTCCTACCTCTTCTTTTGCCCAGGATTTTGATGTAATTAGCTGGCACGAGTCCTGTTGTTTGGCCATCATAACTAGCCAGAAGCCAACCACGGATTTTGGGTTGTTGTTCTGAAGAAGAAAAATGCAAACACAACAAGTTACAAAACAATTCAAAATATTTTGCAGTTGAGGCACAAATACACCAGAAGGTGGATGACATGACAGTTCATCACGCAGAAAAATAGCTGTGATAAAGAGCAAATACAAATTACTTCACAAGAAATGATGAGGATCTGCATCGGTGAGGTGAGCTGAAGAGTAGTGTGAAGAGCAGGCTGTTCTGAAATAAATGACAACACCATACTGCAAAAGCCTAAGGATTTTCACAGTTGTGTAGCGCGTGCAAGGAAAAGGTAACCACAAGGATAACCACAAAGCACTACCTGAAGAAGTTTAGGCTGTGTCATATCTTAGGGAAATTGAAAGAAGTTTTATTACAATACAAGCAATAACCTATGGAAAAAAGATAATCAGTGTGGGTGAAGACCTTGGTCAAATAAGGCTAGGGGGTTTGTTTTCATTTTCAGACTCTAACAATATGATTTACTTCATATTTGATTAGAAAATAAACACAAAATTAAAAGTTTACCTTTGGGTGCTAGTTTTAGCATGTCACCAGCACGGAAAGAAATTTCTTCTTCTGAGAGCGCATTGAAGTCATATTCCGCTCTTCCAACTACATGATCATCTTCTCCACTTGCCCAGTTACTAGATACTGCTTCCAAAAAGAAATTAAAAGGTTAGTTGCTCTGAATGATAAAGTGTTGGGTTTTTTTCAAGGAAAATGAAGAAAGCACCTTAACTTCCCTGCTAAAACTTTTCCAATGGAGAACTGACAAGAGTAACAAACAAAGCATGATTTGTTAAGTCAATCCAATCAATACTTTTCTCCCCATCCCAACTGCCACATCCAATAGAAAGGAAAAAGAAATAGCAAGGAACCATGATTTTGGAATTACACAAAGCTTCCCATGAAGCTGCACCCTAATTCAACAACAGGCCACTTAAACAGGCTGTTACTTATGTTATTCATATCACAGGTCTAACATTCAGTATTATACTCCAGTATCTATTAACTTCTATTACTGCAGTAGAAGATTAATCACTATACATGAAATAACAAAAGGAACAATATATGCTGCAGCACTTCTTTCATGCTGCAGATCATCTTTACCTGTTTCTTCATCACTGTATGTAGAAAGCAGTTTCCAAATCAAATAGGGACCTCCCATTATAACAGCAAAGAACAAGAAAATGGGCCAGGATTTTGCAGAATTAGCCGCCTTGTCCTCAAGGCCAACGCGAGCTACTGTCCCCTCACTTTCAGCCCACAAATCCTCATTCTCAGAGCTCTTCCGCAAACCGAGTAATCGTTGTAGACGTTGGTAGAGGTATCTTATAGTTCTCACCAAAGCAAAAGCTGAAAACACCTTTGTGAAGTGTACTTTGAGGCGGGAGAAGTGATTGGCTACATCCAACACAGCTCTGAAACTGTTGTACACAGCTGAAAAGGTAGCATCCATCATCATGCTGACCGAGGCGAACGCATGCACAATACTTTCAATGGACTGAAATGCACCTCTGCTGCTCTCTTCAGCCTGCTGAACAAACCTGCTGGGAGGAATATCATCTGTACGAAAGCGGTTATAACCCAGGCCACCATATCCGTAACTGTAAGGACTATAGCTTCCATAAAAAGAGGTTCCATATGAACCATAGCCTGGAGAAAAAGAACTGGTATACGCTGGCCTGAAAGTGCTCAGACTACTGCTTCCCGTTTGCTGTGACGGTCTTGGCAAAATAGGTGGAGGTATTCGTGCAACTGTGGGTTGTCCAGGCCTGGTCAGCACATTGTCACCCAAGTCAGCAGACCTAAAAAAATTCAGACAAGCAAGATCAGTACACAAAATAAGTTTGTATTTTCATTTCCTTGGAGCTCTTGGCTAATCATATAAATACGACAGCGTGTTTTGGTAGTGCTAGGATAGGGAATCTGGTAGCCAAACACTCAGTACATTGCACAACGTCTGTGGGAAGTAAAAATTCTAGTCAGGAAATACAGGTCTTTCAGGAGAAAAAAAAGCCATAATGAGATAGTGTAAACGTGGAACTGCAGCATATCTGAAACGTACACACGGAAAAACTTTTAGTCTGTTTATTGTATTGACTAAGAAAGTGTGAAATGCTACATCTAGATCCATCAAACCTGATGCTATAACACCTAGGTCATTTTTTCTACACACAAAAGCCTCTTGTATGTACTACAAAGACTATTTATGAACTTCTCAATCTGAAAGCTTTATTTCCAACACCTGTTCTCAGCTCTTCTATACGATGAGCCAATGATACAGCAGGAAGGAAGTTTTAGAGCTCTGTTTGAATGCATCCTTACAGAAAATGGTTGTGTGATCTAATTGAGAGTCTAAGCAACTATAGAACAAAATACGTAATGGCTTTGGGTCCCCCAATTTTCCCCTTTACCCAAATTATTTAATTACCTTAATGTAACGTGTTATGGGATTGAATCTATTACTGCTAACTGTTGGCAGAAAGTGGTATTATGAGTCAATTTTTTTTATTAGTAAACTTTTATTCCTTTGTATATCCATAAGTTTAAGTCATTTCATCTATGGCCTTCATAATAAGACTCTGCAAGTACTATACTGGTATTTGAACCCAGTCAAGCAGCTCTCCAACTTTTGCCATTTCATTAAAAAGCTAATCACATATCATCCTAGAAGTCAAACACTTTGGTCATTTCCCATATTTACTGCCTCATCCCCTAACTTCCCACTTCTGTAGTCCATTAAATTCACAGAAAAAAAAAAAAAAAAGAAAATCAAGTTTGAATTGCTACAGAGCTGCTTCTTTCTGCACTGCTTTCAGGGTGAAGCATGCTAGCTTTACTATTTCTGTATAAGGAAAGGAACAACTTTGTCTCAGCAAAACTTACAGGTTTCTACAGCAAGGAATAATATTTATATCTTTACGTGAATTGTTTTTCCACCACAGTCTTGAATTCTCTTAGCAGTTAAAAACAGAAGCAAAAATAAATTATCACAGAATACAGAGGTACTGTGACTTATTAAGTGACACTACATTCATCTCCCCAGTAGTCAACTCATGACACCTTATTTTAAAGGTGCTTCAAGCAATTTAAAATGAGCTAGATAACCCCACGAAGAAAAATTAACATCAAATTTCTTGCTTAGCAAGCTTCAGCGCGCAGTGAAAGCGCAAAGTTTCTGTGGAATGTTTAGTCTTGGCCTAACCTTTTGCCCAGTTTTGGCTTGCCCTAATTGCAATCAATAGCACCAAACGCAAAACAAGACTGATATACAGCTGCCAAGCTTTCCTTCATTTCTGATGAAAACAGTTTACAAACACTTTCTGCACAACATCCTTCTCCGTGAGCAGCTTGGATTTTCTGGAAAAGCTCAGGTTTCCGGGTGAACGTACCAGGGGCAGATATACACCTGCACCTTTCCCAATTCCTGGGGATGACACACAGCTCCTCTGCTCCTGTGGAGGCACGGAGGCTTATACAGCTTTATAGCCCCCAGGAACAGCCAGACACCCGCACTTTGCCTACCGGTGGTAACACGTAGGGCTTTACCCTCACCACACCAAACACGCAGCTTTCTACAGACAGGAGCAGGCTTTGAGACCGGTACCTTTGGGGACCCTCTCGCTCTCTCTCCACACTGAGAAGGGGGATCCCCCAGAGACAGACACACACACCCCCCTTCCCGCCGGGCACAAGCAGATCAAACGACCCCAAACCACCCCAGCAGAGGATCCACCATCCCCCCAGGGCCACCCACACCGACGAAACCCCCCCAGGCTCCGCTCAGCCACCAGCTGGTGGAGGCGCTGCCCGGCTGGGCCCGACCTTTGAGCTCGCCTCAGGGGCGAAGGCCGAGGAGGCGGGAGGCCCCGGGGGGGGGAGTTGAGGCGCGGCCGCCCTGAAGGGGACGAACAAGCAGGGGAGACGCGGGGACCGGCGCACCGCACTCACTGGAAAGCCGGCGCCACCGTGCCCGCCAGCCGCCGGTTCTCCCAGGGTTTGGGAGGCGGCGGCTGCGACGCCATCTCCAACCTCGCTGCGGGCCCCGCTCTGCCCCCGGCCCGGCCCGGCCCGCCGCGCTTCTCCGCCCCGACCGCCCACCGGCAGGCGCTAAGCGGGAGCGCCGAGCTATTCAACCCACGCCTCTTCGAGCAAGGCTTCCCGCCGCCCCCGGCCCATCGATGCGCTCTGCCTCGCCTCTGCTCTAGCCTGTGCCGGCTCCGCTGGCCGCCCGCGAAGGCGTAAGGCGGGGGGCGAGGCCCCGCGTGTCGCCAGGGCCGCTGAGGTGATCGCTGCTCCCCGGGGAGCGGGGCGGGGGTGGCGGCCGCCCGGAGCCCCTCTGTGGCGCCTCGGACTCCTGCGGGAGGGCGGCCCTCTGCTGAGCGGTTCCCATTTCCCCCCCCCCGGGGCGGGTGTGAGGTGCCTCAGTGTGCGTGTGTGGGGCTGTAACGGTTGTAACAGTCGGGGCGCGCGCTGGCGTGGGGGGGGGTTATGGGGCCCCCTCCCCTCCTGTCACCGAGACCTGAGGTGTTCGGGCCGGGGGTGGCCTTGTCAGGGGGTTGCGTGGGTGTGTGGGCGGCCGG